TTTAAGTTAGGGCTGTATCTAAGGTGCTATTCTCTTCCCAGCAGTCCCAATGAGTTACCCAGAACATATACTGAGTTAGCATAATAGTTTAGTTATATATGGAAGAAAATCGTATTTTTTTTGGTGTCCTGCTGCAGAATCAGCCCATTTTCTGTAATCTGCAGGAGATGTGTAAAAATAACAAACCTCATAGTGTTGAATAGCTTTTTAGAGAATGTATTATGAATTTTGTTCAGATTTAAAGACATCCATTGGAAACATCCTACTGTAACTGTAATCTTATATTAATAATGGAAAAGAAATGTCAACATGGAGACTTTGGTCATGTTCATGAACATGTACTTGAACACAAGTATTGTAACAATGAAACACTGTAAGGATTTACACTGAATCACCATTGCACTGTTGATATAGTGTAGAGAAACCATTATAGAAATGGTAACATCCTACAGAAGTGTGTATTATTACATGTTGCCATTAGATTTTTAGCTTTTTTAAATATTTTGAATGAAGAAAGCAATGATCCACCCATTTCTTTATATCTTTTTAGCAGATTTATGAAAGAGTATAGTACATAGTGTCACAAATCATAATAATAAAATTTACTAAATCTTTTTCAGTCCTTTCCCTAGGAACAAGGAAAAACAAAAAATATATAATATTGTGGTAGTTTCATTGTGTGTTTTTTTTCTTTCTAAAAATTAAAAAAAAGTTTTACAGTTCTGTGAAACGTTCAAAAGCCAGCTTAAAATTTTTCTTGTGAGAAAATACTGTACATGATTCACATGATTTCTTATTAGATTTTTTTCAATAAAAATATGTGAAACTTCCTATGGAGAGATAGTTCTTCATGGATCTCTCACACTCCCGCATCTGGAAGGCAAAGGTACAGTCTGCTTTTGTTCTGGAGTGTCTTCTAAAGCATGTTTGTATAAGAAACCACCTTGGAAGAGGGAGGTATTGTCTCTCTTTAAAGCAAAGAACAAATATTCAAACTTCTCCTTTAAAAGTTTCAGGTTCCTTAAAACTGGGGTTCCTTCCTTATAACACAGCCCACTGCATGTGCAGGTGTCACTCGGCTCTCTTTATGTCACTCTGTGGGAACTGGGGCTTAGGGAACTGGTGAAAGAAAAAAATGCAGATTCTCTGGCCACTGCTATTGCTGTGAGTAATAAAAGTCTTTTGTCTCTAATCCAAGAGTCTCGTGTCTTCTGCACTGAAAAAACAGCACGCTAACTTATTAAGTCTCCAGCAGGGATAATCTCAAAGCCTTCCCAGTTATTGATACTTTCCTCATTTTCATCTTCATTTTAAGAATTGTTTTTAAAAAAACTGGGTCCTTCCATTTTTATATTTTCCTCACTATTAAGTTCTGTCAATCTTGTGATGTTGGATTAACAAATAACATCTTACATAAACTCATAGGTGAATGAGAAAAGGGAAAAATGAAATAGTAAGAGGAGACGCTCCTAACTCTACCCTCTGGCTCCTGCATCCATGAATTTATGTAGAAACAGTCGCCATAAAATGGCAATGATCGTTAATTCAGAATATATCGAATATATTAGGGTTAATTTATTACCTCACACTTCCAAAGTGTTTTCAGCAAGCTGTCGCTAGAATGTCATCTTTTTTTTTTTTTTTTTGGACAGGCAGAGTTAGAGACAGAGAGAAAGGTCTTCTTACCATTGGTTCACCCCCTAAATGGCTGCTATGGCCGGCGCCACCTATCCAAAGCCAGGAGTCAGGTGCTTCCTCCTGGCTTCCCATGTGGGTGCAGGGCTCAAGCACTTGGGCCATCCTCCACTGCCTTCCTGGGCCACAGCAGAGAGCTGGACTGGAAGAGGAGCAACCGGGACAGAATCTGGTGCCCCAAACGGAACCGGAATCTGGGATGCCAGTGCTGGCCAGAATGTCATCTTTTAAAAAGGCATCAAGTCGTTTGTTAGGCCATCTGCTTCAGGGCAATGGGGACTTGGATAACGCTAGAGATTTACATGAGCATGCACCCGTTGCCACATTTTATTTGCTGTTAAACAAATTTTCTGAATGAAAACAAGATTGTGTGAAATGCTGTTGTGGAAAATGAGACATGTCTTAAGTCCACAGATGGCATTTTGACGAAAAGTACTGTAGTCTTGGAAGGCAAATCCATATTCAGAGTGAATGACTCTCCAAGAACAAGTCACTGCCTTTTTTGTAACAGAAGTGGCTCAATGTAATCAATCTGCAATTAGACCTTCCTCTAGTCTTCTGGTGCCACACTGAGGACATAATGTCCTCTTTGCTATTGTGAGGCTGAACACAGCCAGGACTAGCCCAACTGGCTTTGGTGAATGAAAACCCATATTGTCAAGCAGGTGCATAATCTCTGCTCCAGCCACTGTTTGTTTTGTTCCTGCATTCATTGATCAAGGACAAAACTGGCTGATGAAAGTGACTGGCAAACATAGAACAGGTCATCTTTATTTTTAAGACTGATTTATTTTGTTTGGAAAGCATAATTACAGAGACAGAGAGCTCTTCCATCTGCAGATTCACTCGCCACATGACCGCAATGACCAGAGCTGGGCCATCCAAAGCCAAGAGCCAGGAGCTTCTTCCAGGTCTCCCACACAGGTGCAGGGGCCCAAGCACTTGGACCATCCTTTGCTGCCTTCCTAAGCACATTAGCAGGGAGCTTGTTTGGAAGTGGAGCAGCTGGGACTTGAACTGGTGCCCATACGGGATGCTGGCACTGCAGGCGGCCGTTTTACCCACTACGCTACAGCACCAAACCCGGCCATGTCATCTTACCCACCTGATAATTCAGACTCTTTTTCTCCTGAGGGTGCTTCTTTGGTGCATGGTTACATGAAATATATCCACTTGTCAAGGAGGTCAGTCCACAGAGCCTTTTCTCAGGACTTCCTTCTCACCAATTTTCAAATCAGGCTCCTTCCAAGTCCCTGCCAGGCCTGCCAAATCATTAGCTACAGCCCATGAATTAATATATATCATGCCATTTTTTTTTTCTTTCAAACAAAATGACAGCCAGATGCATAGTTTGGATTCTTTTTAACTGAAGAGATTTTCTTCACTACTTTCATTCAGGGTCACTTTTGTGTGGGCTTGGAAAGCTGCAGCTAATTACTTTTGGTGGTGCTAGGAAGTTGTAAGAAGTCATTAGTGAACCAAGCCAAAATGTTTTCTATGTCAGTCAAGCAGTCATAAAATGTGCTCTTTAAGACTTTAGAGGTAGGTTAAGAGAGGAAAAAGCTTTGGACCAATAGTGGGGCCCTTAGCAACCAGAGCCAGTTACTCAGGAAACTCATGCCTTCAGAATGTGCTGAATACTGATCTCATACACTTCATCGTGGAGTGGTGTTCTGCCCAGGTAATCAGTACACAGGCTTGCTGGACCAGACCGCACTCAATTTATAATGGGCAGTCCAGGTTGCCTGGGAGTGTGGTGGTCCATGGTCAAGCTTTAAGGTTTTATTAGGATCTAGTAGCAATTCAGAAATTGCTTCTCATAGCAAACATAATTATTTGAAGAAAATGAACTCACTTTGCTCCAAAATCCTAAAGACTTCATAATTATTGACAAATAGGGATCTGCCAGAGGATCCGCATGGTATTATTATGTGCCACAGATTCTTCAAGCACCACCCTATCTGCTGTGCCACATAGCAAAAATAGCAGAACAGCCTCGATCTTAGTCTGGCCCAACTGCAGACTCTTCGTGTTCTATGTACCATGTGAAGATGGAAATTTGTTTCCTTATTACTAGTTTTCAGAATGGTATCCCCCAGTGAAGCACATATGGCCAACTGAGGTTTGGATCTCTTTCTTAGGAAGATCCAGAGCGAGAAACTTATCCTTTACCTTAGAAGAGATAGCTCAGAATGTCACTGGATTCCTAAAAATTTTGCAAAGGAGTGATGTCCCTAAAGTTTTGAGAGATTTAATTCACATATTCTGGCACAAAATGAAGCTAGCTATATTATATTTTCAGCTACCACTTCCTCTATCGTAGGTCCAAAGATATATCATTAATGTTGTAGATAAGCATGGCATCCTATGCAGTGTAGAGATCGTGGCCCCTGTAGGTTAGAAATTTGATATACTCCTAAGGTAGGTAAATTAACACAATTACTGGATAAACCCAAAATGCTATTGACAGTCTTCACTCGGAAATTTGTTTTAATTTCTCAGGTTTCAATGCTCAGGTTCCAGAGCATGTATTCATTTGCTGTGATAATATATATTGGACAGCATCTGAAATTGGAGCTACCATCCTTTTAAATTTGTAAAAATCCAATGAAATTCTTCAAAAAGCATGTATCATAGGCACAAAGCAAACAAAAATCGAGGGTTTACTACCACTTTTTTTTTTTAAGATTTATTTATTTATTTGAAAGAGTTACACAGAGAGAGAAGGAGGGGCAGAGAGAGAGAGAGAGAGAGGTCTTCCATCTGCTGGTTCACTCCCCAGTTGGCTGCAATGGCCAGAGCTGTGCCGATCTGAAGCCAGGAGCCATGAGCTTCATCCAGGTCTCCACGTGGGTGCAGGGGCACAAGGACTTGGGCCATCTTCTACTGCTCTCCCAAGTCATAGAGAGCTAGATCAGAAGTGGAGCAGCCAGGACTCGAACTGGCACCCATATGGGATGCTGGCACTGCACGCAGGGCTTTACTCACTATGCCACAGCGCCAGCCCTCCTACCCCTCTTTATTTTTGATTGTTAATCCCTGAAATCCCTCCAGGAATTCAGTGCTGTTTTATTTTCCAATTTCAGTAGAGACAGCTCTAAGACCTTCCATGGACAGTACCACTAGAAGAGCTTTCATTCCACAGATCAAAAAGGCAACAAAGGATGGGGTACTCTACCAGTTTCTGTGTATGTTCATTGCAAACATACCTTCCAGAATGAGGAAAACAACTATGGGATAAGTGATCCAAGGGACTCGGGATCCTTGTGACAGATGTAAGTCAAAATTTGATGAAGTTATCTGACTTCAATATGGTCTTGTTTTGACTATGGGGGTCACCAGAAATTCTTACTATTTCATAACCAGTAATCTTCTAATCACCAAAATGATCATTTCCCCTTCACCAATACCCAATCATCCTGTTAATATTCAAAAGTCCTTTTAGGGAATAGTAGAAGGTAGGTCACAAATGAATTTTGAATAGGGTAATAGGATCATTCCTCAAAGAGAAATGACCTCTTTTCATTCAAGGAGTCAGACTCACAAGTCTGTGACCTGGCTGTCCTGTGGAAACAGGAAGAAAATGTGGGTCACTGGTATGGTGATTTCAATCCTATTTCTGTACACTAGGTGCTCACATAGATAAGAAAGACAATAGAACGCCCGTAATTCCAGTTCTAGGGATTCCATGACCAAGTGGCCAATGCCAAGAATTCTTTGCAAGATCACATCATTCCTGTCTTGGTGCATTCATGTTGCAATATACAAAATACTTCAGGCTGAGTAATTTATAAACAACAGAAATCGGTTACACACAGTTCTGTAGGCTGAGAAGACCAGGATTAAGGTGCCAGCAGATTTGGTGTCTAGTGAGGGCTTGTTCCTAACAGAGAGGGCCTTCTATGTGTCCTCATGTGGTAGAAGGGGTAATAAGGTTCCCACAAGCCTTTTTTTATAATGGCACTAATTCCATGGATGAGACACCTTCCCTCATAAACTAATCACCTCCTAAAGCCCTACCTCTTGATACATTCACATTGGGTATTAGGTTCCAAGATACAAATTCTGAGGGGGAACTAACACTGAAACCATAGCAATTCCCTTTGCCACATTGATTCTGCTGCCCTTCTGGTAACCATACATGTGTGGCCTCTAGAATTTAAATTCTGACATTTGCTACCTACCCTTGAGGAACCCCACCATCATTCAATTCAAGAAGCCCAGTTCTATGGCTGCACTTCCAGTGTTGTTCTTGGCTTTCAGGGAATAGTCACTACATAGTTCCTTAAGGATACCAATGCCATCTTGTCCAACATAGTATGCAAAAGCTTGGTGAAGTGAATGCCCTCTAGACATATTTAGAGGTGGATGAGCACACCTATCACAGTCAAACCAGACTCCCTAAATATCTATACAACTTCCTCTGTACTACATTATAGGAAGGAAGTTCTGGCATTTCAACCTTGTTCTGTGTAGTCTACAATTGTGTCTTGTTTCCAGTGACTCCTAGAATTACTTCTAATCCCATGACCTAACACCTTGATTCCAGAACCTCTGGATTGAATCTCTCCAGTACACTGATGTTTTTTAAAATATCAGGCTAATTCATCATTATATTCCTTCCAACTTAATCTAATACTCTTAAGAAATAACTCAACATAGCCAATATGAATTGGCAAAATCTTGCAATTCCTATGTCATATATGGTAACATGTCACAAGTCACAATTTTTACCTGATATTCCAGGACTTAAGTCTGACTATCGACTTAGAAAACATGTTAGATAATGGGGATGGATCCTGACGAGCACTAGCATTGCAGTTTAAAAGGTTTTATTTCAGGGCCAGCACCATGGCTCACTTGGTTAATCCTCCACCTGCGGCACCAGCATCCCATATGGGCACTGGGTTCTAGTCCTGGTTGCTCCTCTTCCAGTCCAGCTCTCTGCTATGGCCCGGGAGGGCAGTGGAGATGGCCCAAGTGCTTGGGCCCCTGCCCCTCCAAGTGAACCAACAGAAGGAAGACCTTTCTCTCTGTTTCTCTCTCTCACTGTCTGTAACTCTACCTGTCAAATAAAAAAAAAAAAAAAAAAAGTTTTATTTCAGGACATTCATGGAAGATGTTTCCAATGTTGACCTCAAGCTATGAATTTAAATCAAAATCTTAAATTTTTTAAGTTTTCCAGCACTTTCATAAGCAATGACTCAACATAACCATCACTATTATTTTCTGTGAGAAAAGCCTAATTGGTAACTCCATGCCCTACCTTCCATAGACACTTCACTCCAGGTGGCTATAGGTGAAAATTTAAATGGCCACTGGCCATGCATTTTATGGATGACTACAGTCCCAGTTGCCACCAACAATATTGCAATTAATTTTTATACATCTAGTCATATCATACAATCAATTTCATATTTATAAAATTTATTTGAGCGGCACAGACACTGACACAGAGTGCCCTTACAGCTCACACAGCTTCCTCTTTTGGTCAACTGTAACCCAGAATCTCACAGGGATCTGGAAAATGTAGTTGGATTTTTAACTATAGATAGTTATAGCTTTAATTTTTTTTTTAGTTTCCTTTACCTCAGATAACTGAAATGAAATTTTTTTCTGTACTCTTAAAGTACCCTATTTTAGAGCTGTTAATATATGCTAGACATTGCATTAATCACTTTACTGCACAGAAACTTTTAACATAATAGTCCTATCCTCACTTTATAGCCAAGGAAACCAAGGCTCAGAAAGATTTAGTAACATTTCCAAGAACACAGTTTAGTTGGATGTAATAAAGCCAATCTGACTCCAAAATCTTTGCACTCAGTTACCCTGATATCCTCCTGCCTTTGCCAATTTAGAAAATGTTTTAGAATATATGCACAAGGATTCATATAACCTAACCACAGGCCAGCTTTGTAGTCAAAATTATCCAAATAATTTTCAAACTCTCTTAGATAATTCATGAGCTCCCAACTGCTTTTCTTGACATTGTACTCTCAGTTTATTGTTGGTACAATTTTGAACAGGAGAGTGAAGAAAGAAGGGAGGGGAGGGAGAAACTGTTAAGAACTCCAAATATCTGCATTCTCATTGATTTATCCCCAGTGTACTATTCATGAGGCCACTTTTAAAAGTTTATTTGAAAAAGAGCATGTATTTAAAATAAGCTTATCTTTTACTTTGCTTTTCTATAAGCTTTTTAAAGTACTCTCATATTTTTATATATTTGCAATCTGTCACTCTTGAATAAATAGAAACCTAAGCCAGTGTTTGTCTAATTATTCCTTAATATTTTAAGATTTAATAGGAAAACATAATATAGGTGTTTTGTGATCAAATAAATTTTGAAAATTTTGGAATTAAAACAGAATTACTCAGTGTCTGACAACAGTTTATATACTGTAAACTACCATAAAAGAATATAAAGCATGTAATTTTTGTCAATGGAACCCCTTTTTTCTCTGACAATGGTTGGAACATAGTTTGTGGAAGAGAGCAGTAAATCATTTTTTTAGAAAATTTAATTATATTATCAATTTCTAACCATAATTCTGTCCTAGGAGACTGGAATAGACAACAGCAATCATTATTTACTTTACACAGGGTTTCACTGGGGTCTTCAGATATGACTCATATGAAAGGGGCCACTCGATAGGGCTGCTGTTTCATAATGCATCTAGTGTAGGGGCTCCTAAACGTCTGAAATACAGTATCAAACAAAGGATGGTAAGACGAGGGTATACATAAATCACCCTAAGGTTCAGAGTGAGAAGCCTACAAGGAAAATGTAGAAAGGTTTTGCGGAAGGACAAGTTTTGGTCACTGCTCATAAAGGATGACTAGCAGCAGGGGGCCACAGCCAGGGATAAGAAGGAACGTCTCCAGGCAGGAGCACAGGTATAGGTGGTATGGAGGGAGGTGGGAACACTAGATGGAGGGGGGATGAAGCTTGATTGTCAGTCATGTAGGCTATCTACAAGGATAGAAATTTGGACTGATGGTTTTTGGCGAGGAGGGTAGGCAAAGACATGGGAGAACTGGTGAGCCTGAGACTAAGCTTGTATATGGGGGGACAGTATACACCCCCTGGGCATCCAGACCAGCATGGGGGAGGAATCTAAAGGAAGGACGCCTAAGGAGAACTGAAGGCTCATTTCACCTACCTCATTCTTTGGCTAAGGGAAAGGCCTAATCAAATACATTTGGATCTAGGTTCTGTGTCTTCATTTGCCAACAGAGAGAGCCAAAGACAAGTAAGGTTCTTCTTGAAGATGTGTGTTATTCCCCAAAGAATTTTTTAGGAAAAGCAAGCAGCCTGGGAAACATTTGTTCATTAGATATATTCTGGCAGCAGCCAGAAAAATCCAGAAAGTACCAAGCACATGTACATAAGACACTTGATTCTTCTAACACTTTTGGTTTAACTGCTTTGTTATTAACTGCCGTTATAAAGTACTTTTTACATTTTCTATCAAATGTACTTACAAAAATCCTCAAACACACTGTAAACATTGTAAGACTATGATGGGCTTTGCCTCTGAAAGCTCTCATAGAAAATGGTAACTGCTTAATTCAATCATTACAACTGTAAGTAGGGCATATTTTTAAAATACACTTCCTCATAGTCATTGTTATAAAGAAGGAAAGTACTCTGCAGTGCCTTGCTCAGTTCAAGAACATCCTGGCCATTGATTCTCGTAAGCTGTCTGGCCTTCTGAAATCTGCTGACCCAGTCCACATTTAACCCTGTCACCCTGGAAGGCCAACCTTCCTGCTGAACCAGAGGTCACACAGACATGCTGAAATAACAGACAACCTATGTCTGTTAGAAACCACTGATGTATGTGCCACCTTCTCACAAATGGGAAGCTTCCTCTGCCTCCAAATGGAAATTCATACTTTCCCAGTAAGAAGTCATCCCCATTTGAGTGGCCTGATGGAGAGCATATCTCCATGAAGTCATCATCATTGCTGGCTGACTACAATATTCATAGCCTCACCCACACTGTGGCTGTCTTAACAGCAGATGGGTTCACTTAGGAGAGCGCATCATCCAAATCCAGTGGCTACGTTTCCCCTGGATTCCAAAAGTGTTGTTGTGATCCTCCTAAGAGCTTATAGGAAGGAAACTTCAAGAAGTTCATGGAAAATGTGTATTATGAAAGACATATGCAGGGATTTTGAATTTTTGCACCAAAATAAATTCATTTTTAATTTATTTTTTTTTCATCAAATTTTTGAAACCCCCTGGTACAGCTAGGAGAAAGTCAGAGGGACCTCCTATTGTGAAGGGTCAAGATGGTAGGTTGGGTTATTAAGTTACGATAGCCAATTATAAAGCAAATTTGCCATGTTCTTACTCTGAACAAGCTGACAACCTGAACACATGGTTAGGTTTCACATGAGCTAGAGGCCCTGGGAGTCAAAACATGAGAAGAAACGAGATATCGCTTATCACATGTGAGGCTGTAGCTGCACAGGCAGGGCCAAGGCAGTTGCATTTGGTTTAGTTCAGCGATATTCAAAGAAATGCCTCCCTACAGGTGACTGCTTCCTGTGCTTCAATTAGGGATTGGAACAGTGAGACTCTGGCGGGCCTTTATCCAAACAATAGGTCCCCTTGAGCTGTTATTTCTGACTCTGAATGGAGAGACATTAAGTGTTACACATACCTAATTTTGTCATCCAATTAATTTTAATGAATGCAGCCCATGTGTCCATTCAGCTCCCTCGGTGAGTGTGTGTGTGTGTGTGTGTGTGTGGTAGGGCAGTGTTCTGCTTTGCTGCTTTGTTCCTGTGCATTGATGTGTCATTTCCAGAGTGGCTTCTGAGTGCAGCCGAGACCTGGTTTCAGATGGCAGCCGGAGCATCCTCAGGCTCGTTAATAATGGAGGACTCTGACAGGGGCAGCTTCGCCTGCCTTTGTTTCCCGCTGTAGATGAAGGAAGACATGGATCTCTCTGTTTTGCCCAATAACAACCATCCTGACAAATTCCTGCAGCTTGATGTGAAGTCGTTAACGAGGAGCTCAGCGCCTCTGCAGGCCAGCCTCGCGAGATTTCCGGGTGGAAATTACCCAGCTGCACAACACTGGCAAAACCTTGTCTACTCTCAGGTAAGGTCTGTGGGCACAGAAATGTGGGGGTGGGGGCTTTCTTCTTTCTCACTACCCACCATTTCATTTGTGTGTGTCTGAAAAAGAAGGCTGTAAGGAACTGAGGACAGGGGGACTGGTCTCCAAAATACCTTCCCCTGATATCATAAAATGTGCGAGTTCCCCCACCCTTGCATTCCCCTGCCTGTCTGCACGCCTCCTTGCCTGCCTTCGTTTTAGATTTCATGTGGCCCTCAGTTTATTCCGTTCCTTCATAATTTTTCAGACTAAATGTTATATCTGCAAATAAGGCTTTATAAAGGAAGTGCAAAAACATATCTTTTGGTCCAGTCTAAACGAAAAGCATGGGAAGCTTACATTGCGTGTGTAACCAGTTATCCAGACAGCTGGATGCTTGCTTCTGCCTTACTTAGATTAGCTCCCTTTCTTTGTCTACAGAGAAGACTCAGACGGCAGAACAATGGAAACCTAATGCTTGAAAAAAAAATACATCCATCTTGGAAAGGCGCTGGCCCTGCTTTCCACAGGTGTCCATGCAGACACAGCATACGGATCAAACCTTCAAACCTAACGCAGATTTTATTTTTCTTGCTCTTCTCGTACATCTTCCCTCTTTTTGTGGACCAAAAGAGAAGAATAAAACTGTGATGAGTTCCAGGTGCTACAATAAACATGAAGGCACTGACTTGCACAGCTAATGAAACAGGAATAATCTTCGTTTTAAGATGCGAAGGCTAATGGGGTTAAGGGTTAGTCGGTTTAGAAACAGGAAGGAGCATTTCATTTCAGAACAGATGTGACTGACCTACAAACCCCTGCAAGTCATTAAGTCCTTTGGAGTGGTTCAAATTCCCTGAGCAGAAATTTGTTTTCTTTTAAGAACAGTCGCTACTCATGAATCTTGGTGTAAAGTGACTCCTTTGTGGTGTGTTTGTGGGCTCCTTGGGACCTTTATCATGAGATCATTCAAAATCAAGTACACTCAAATGATTATGTAAGTGTTTCCTCCACCTATAAGGGTTTTAATTTATTTCCATTGTAAGACAGCCTATTATGACAACTAGATTTTTCTGAATATTGTATCCATTCCTTGTAATCCTAAAACCCTTCTGTTCTTCCATATTTTCCCATTTGGTGGCAGGGGTGGGGGGGTGTTCCTCGCATTTTCTTTAGTTTTCAATGAAATGAAATTTCTCTTTTCTCCTCCCTTTTGCTTATATCATAGAACAAAATTATTAAAAACTCAGTTCAGAAAACCTTGGCCCTCTATGCTATGAACTTCAGTCTAAGAAAACATGTCCAATAAATTCTTTTGAGATTGGAACATGTCGATCTAACATCTTTTGTTTGGGACTGGAGTTGACCTATTTCCTTCATGTGGAACTCTACAGTTTAAAGATCTGTTGAATGTTGTCCCTAAATCTGAATGAAATACAAGTTTTTAAAAGGCAGATTTTCCTATAGGCCCTATTGAGGTGAAATAGTTACTGAACGGAAAACAAAGGCCGTAAGCTTCTGTTCTCAGGACTTTGAATCTATGTTATTACTGATTTTAAACTGCAAATAACTTTGATTTAATTATTTGTTACCCTAGAAAGAAATGTTAAGTAACTTAATGAAGGCCAATTTATGAGTGAAATAAAACACACAGTGGCAGTAAATTAAGTACAAGTTCAGGTAATTGGGTAGACCTGACACGAACTATGAGTAACAGTTATACTCGCTATTTCACTTTGTAATACATCAATTCAAAATTCTCTCTTGGGTGGATCTTCAAATCCAGGATTAATATATTCACTAAATAGAAAAACAAAGAAATGGGCATGTGAATATTTTAAATAGTTGTAGTGATACATGGAAGACATTGAATATTCCAGGTATACTGAAGCACATACGACGTGGCAGCCACCCAATTAGCAGTTATTAATTTATAACCCTCACTGCTCAGGGTAGCCATTAAGCCAGTGGGGAAAATACGTAATAAAGAGTCAGAAACTTGGTCATTGTCTCAAATCCATAGTAAATCAGTTTTAAAGATATCTACCATGGCCTTTAGTCAGTCCACATGTCATTATTTTCACTTGCATAATTAGGGGGATATTCATTTTACATATTTCCTTAGAAGTAAGAAAAATAAAACATGAGGCGAAAGCAATTGAGAGGATGTTTCCTGGAAAAGTACAAGAAGCATGAATGGAAGTTACGTGCATATGCATTATTATTTTTAACCAATAGTCCAACATGTGTTTCTATTATCCTTCTACTAAAATTTAGGAAACAACAGATAGTACCACTCCCATTATTTTACAAATATTATGAATGGAAGGGGTTTATGTTTGTGTGTGTGTGTGTGTGTGTGTGTGTGTGGCAAGTTGGGTAATATACTCAACACACTTGTCAAGTTGTGTGGCCAACTTCATACTCAGATAAATCCACACAAAATTCAGAGTTGTGTTGGCTGATCTTTTGGTAGCCTATAGGAAGATCTGCCTTTTTAAAAACTTGTATTTCATTCAGGTTTAGGGACAACATTCAACAGATCTTTAAACTATAGAGTTCCACATGAAGGAAATAGGTCAACTCCAGTACGAAACAAAGATCGACGTGTTCCAATTTCAAAAGAATTTACTACACATGTGCACGATATTTGAGATGCAGACTATTAATGAAATGTCAAAGGACTTAGCCTACAAAGAAACATTACTTTCAAGTTGCTAACAGTTAAAACAGACAACTGCTTTATGCCAAATATCAAGATGAATTCTTACGTGTATATATACATATATAATATATATAATGTATATATATATATATATATAATTTTAAAATAAGTGATGGGGGCTGGTGTTGGGGCATAACTGGTTAAGCCACTGCCTGCAGTGCCAGCATCCCATATGAGCACTGGTTCGAATCCTGGCTGCTCCACTTGCAATCCAGCTCCCTGATAAAGCAACCAGGAGGTCAGCAGAGGATGGCCTAAATCCTTGGGCCACCGTACCCATGTAGAGACCCAGATGAAGCTCCTGGCTCTTGGCTTTGGCCTGGCACAGTCCCGGCCATTGAAGCCATCTGGAGAGTGAACCAGCAGATGGAAGATTCTCCTTCTCTCTTTTTCTCTCTTTCAAATAAATCTTGAAAAAAAAAAAAAAAGATAATCTAATTTAAAAATTCAGTTGCCTTAGCTCTTGTTTCCATGAGCTACGGCAATGCCATACAATCAAGAAATGAGAATGCTAATGTTCTCAGGCAAGTCAGGAACCAGGGACAATTTCAATTTCCACATATGCAGATACTTGATTTCACTATATTTAAACTCCTTAACTTCACTAGAGAAGAAATTCATGAGAAGCTTCACAATAAATTTCATGTCAGTGCAATGAATTAACATTCTCAAAATTCTAATTCTTCTGCTTATTAAAATGATTTGGGGCATGTATCTGATGAAGGCATTTACTATTATATTACAAATATTTCTGCAAACCCCTATGTACAACGAGGGAAGAAAAGGAAAAGCTAATTTAAAAAAATTAAGTGATAAAATATTGTTTGTACAGGTATTGTGGTCTTCTGAGGAGACTTCAGAATTTTTTTGGATTTCAGAATCTCTTGGACTAATATCTTTATTATATCTTTCCTGTGCTTCTATCATATTAGTCGTTAATCTCAAGAGCATTCCAAACCAAACACGTGAGCTGAACCAAAAAGCCAGCATGAGACAATTTTCTTATCTTGATTTCTAATCAATGACTTCCAATTAATGGATTCATTTCCCAATGACCATTCTTCAGTATTTTTTAGTCCAGTGCTCTTTTTTCCTTATATTCTAATGTCTCCATTCCCAATCTTTTGTTTACTCTTGAAAAGAATAGTGCTGCATATATAATAGTATCCTATACTTAGCTTACATTCAGGAAATGTGATGGGACTTTGCAGGTGTTTAAATTATTATTATCTACAAAATAGATCAGAAAGCATCATCATTTCTCAGTTTTAACTGCGAATATCAGAATATGATTTATCAAGTTGTCTTAAATTTATGTGGCTCACAAAAGTCTGCAGGAGGTCAGAGAATTTGCCTTGAGTGGAATGCTCCCAGAAACAACCCCAAAATTATGCTACCATACTGCTCTCAGACAAGATCCAAATGCCTCTGGCACTAAAGCCTGCATTAAAGACACCTGGTCTGTTACAATACCACGTGCAGAACTCCACAGCCCAAGTTACATGTAAGGCAAGGCAGGAGAAGGTTTAAAACAGACTTTGGTCATACCTTGAGAATCTATGGACTTTGTCTGAATTTTGAATTTTATCCTTTAAATTTGAGGGATCAATGAAAAGCTTTAAAGAAACAGAGTCACATGATCAAACCTGTGATTTCTAAAGATAATCATCCTGGCAATTTGGAAAACAGAATTACTATAGGCAGTGGGGAGTTCACTTTCACAAAGTTTATCTATGAAATCCATGCAGAACACCTTGTTTGCACTGTGATAATAAGGATTACACTATGTATAGAGCAACATGGACAAAACAGAAATCTTATTACCTTGATTCTCCCAATCTATGAACATGATATATATTTATATTTATTTATTTCTTTATATAGCCTTTAATTATATCTTATAACTTTCCAAGTAAAAGTTTTGCATATAGTTCATTAGGTTTATATGAAAGTGCTTACTATATTATTGCTCTTGAGAACAGTACATTTTAAATCACCTTATAAAATGGAGCATTACTCTTGTAAGCTATTAATTATTATATATTGATTTTAATTCCAAGAAGTTTTAAAAGATCTATTACCTCATCTGTGAATATCCCTAGATAATCATGTCATGTGCTATTTTCTTTCATTGTTAACAAACTTATCACTACTATTTATTTTCTATTCTTACTGAATTGTTTTGAGTTTCTACCACAATATTATATGGATATTGTGATTACTGGCATCTTGGTATTAGTTCTAAAATGAAAATAAATGCTTGTAATCTTTCACCATT